AAAAAAAAAGAAAAGAAAAGGAAGTTGAAAAGAAAAGCTCTCATACTGTATGTGCCTTTTAGATCACCAAGTAATAATCTCTCTAAGCCATTCCGGGTCTCAGACATGAGGAAAAACAGAAAATGATGACAGGTTTCTGTGTATTTATCTAAAAAAACAAGTTTGAGTTGCCAGAGCTATAAGTAGTATAATGATGAGGAATATAAGCATTCTATTCTAAGGAGCTTCCAGTCCTGTTCAGAACAAATCAAAGTTAACTGGCAGCACCCTCACCCTTTATTACCTCGTTGTGAACATCAAATAAACCCTGCTGGATCTTCCTATATATTTCTTTGGCTGTGTTAATGAAGGCCTGAAGGAGACAGAAATCATATTATCACTATCAAGTTTAGGTAGAGGAATGAGAAAAGAGACTGTAAGTATTCCTATTTGTATTTCTAAGGCAAATTAGGAACTATGAAGAGGTAGTAAAATTATAGATGGTCCCCCAAATGACACTGTAAAAACCATTGAGAGTAGTTTCAAAAAGAAAAAAAGGATTATATGACATTCTGGTACTGATCCTAGATGTTCCTAGGATTCCTAGGTTGGCACTTTCTGCAAACAAAACAAACATTTCTTTTCTCCATCAGTTACTGAAGATACCATCAATACCAGGCCTAGGAATAACTTCAGCAGAACCCATTCAGCACTCCAACGACAGTGATTTATAAGTTACAGTGATATATAATCCACACTTACCAATTAATGTTACCCAAAGCAAAATTAAACTAAGAATCTGTGTAAAAGAAAAAGACATAATTTCCTCAAAAGGAGACGTTCTGTTACTATGACCAAATAACATCCTTTCTTTACCCATGACTTATGAGAAAAGAGAATTCTAAATAAAAGGACAAAAATAATGGATAATCTCGCCCTATTTCTTTCCAAATAATACCTCTTCAACATTGCAGGCTGTTTTGGCTGAAGTTTCCATAAATATAAGTCCATGTTCTCGAGCAAAGGCCTCTCCTTCTTCTCTCTTCACATCCCTGCGAGACTCTAGGTCACTGCAAGAGATTAATTAGGAAGAAAACTAAAGAAAAATCCAAGTGAAAGAGGAAAATCTAGTTCCAAGTAAAAGAATCCCAGAATGGTTTTGACTCCCATTTAATCCAGAAAGAATGTTGATCCCACATAATACTCCTTTAAATAGGGTTGCTGATTTCTGTAGCTTTTTGAAAAATACTCTTCAGATTCAGGACAGCCGCTGCATGAAGATAATATAATATACCTAACTCTACTATGGCCAGATGCAATGGCTCACACCTGTAATCCCAGCACTTTGGGAGGCAAGGTAGGAGGATCAATTGAGGCCAGGAGTTTGAAACCACTGGGCCACATAGTGAGATTGTATCTCTACAAAACAGCTAAAAATTAGCTGGTTTGACAGCACATGTCTATAGTTCTAGCTACTCTGGAGGCTAAGGTGGAAAGATTGCATGAGCCAAGGAGTTCAATGTTACAGTGAGCTCTGGTCATGCCACTGGACTTCAACCTAGGCTACAGAGCAAGACTCTGTGTCCAAAAAAAGAAAGAAAAAAATTATATTTACCATCATAACCCAGCTGGACTGTAAGCTCCATGAAAGCAAGGGCATAAATGACTTTTTCTTTTCACCTTGCACCTGGCACAGTGTCTAGTATGTAGGTTTTCAATAAATCAGTGGAACTAGTAAATAAATACAATTAGCCTGTGGCTTCAGTTCTCAAACAGTGTACCCTGGGCATGCCTATATACTCACAAGGGTATCAGGAGATACTTTAAATTTTTGAGGAAACACCGTAACACTCAAAATCATAATATCATATGAATTACATAGTTAAGATAGTTTGAGGTGTCAACATTAGAGTCTGATCAGTATCTACATATCTCTGTGAACCTGAGTTTTTCACAGTTACTATGATTAAAAAGTAATGCACAAAAATCATTATGGAACAGGACATTAGAGCAGTAGTGGTCCAATTTTGATTCCAAACTTTGAGAAGCTACGTGGTGCCTGACAGACATACACAGGTCATCAGTCATTACTTGTAGTTATTTAAGAATGCAATAAAAATATTTTTTTATTTTAATTTACACTTTTGATTTTTCAAACAGGTGCTAAGTTATCACAAAAAATACCTATGTTTAAAATTTATTATTTAGGTTCAGCACCTATAGCTCAGCAGCTAGAGCGCCAACCACATACACCGGAGCTGGCAAGTTTGAATCTAGCCTAGGCCTGCCAAACAACAATGACAACTACAACCAAAAAATACCCAGGCATTGTAGCGGATGCCTATAGTCCCAGCTACTTGGGAGGCTGAGGCAAGAGAATCACTTAAGCCCAAGAGTTTGAGGTTGCTGTGAGCTATGACAGCCTGAAAAAAAAGAAAATTATTATTTAATAATAAAATTATTATATATTTCTTTTGGCCTATGTGTGCCAATAAAAATTTACTGAGAATAGCATGCAGTGATGTGGGAAAAACCAGAAGCCTTATGCATTGCTGGAAAGAATGTAAAATGGTGCAATTGCTATGGAAAATGGCATGCAGTTCCTCAAAAAATTAAACATAGAATTACCATATGATCTAGCAATCCCATTTCTGGGCATATACCCAGAAGAATTCAAAGCAGGGACTTAAACAGAGATCCATGGTCATAGCAGCCTTATTCACAATAACCACAAGGTAGAAGCACCCTATGGATCCATGGCTAGATGGATAAACAAAATGCGGTATATGCATATATATCCATCCTTTAAAAGGAAGGAAATTCTGACACATGCTACAATATGGATAAACCTCCAAGACACCATGCTAAGTGACATAAGCCAGTCACAAAAGCACAAATAGTGTTATGATTCCACTTATATGCAACACCTATAGTAGTCAAATTCATAGAGAAAAAAAGTGGTATGATGGTTGCCAGCGGACAAGGAGAGGATGGGGAGTTAGTGTTGAATGGGTACAGAGTTTGAGAAGATGAAAAAGTTCTGGAGATAAATGGTGGCAATGGTTGCAGAACATACTTATGGAAATATTTAAGGCCACTGAACTGTATACTTAACAATAGACAAAATGGTAAGTTTTATGTTACATATATTTTATCCCAATCAAAAAATTGTTTTACTGAGACACTAAGAGGACAACTAAGAAAGTTTTAAGATCAAGAAACTCAGTGTTCACAGAGGACCCAGATGACTCCTCTTAACTATTATTCACACAGATAAAATTTTACCTCTTATTCCCAATCAGCATGATAACCATGTTGGAACTAGAGTGCTGCCGGGCATCCTCTAACCATGAGGTCAGGTGGTTGAAAGTTTCACGCCTATAGCAGAAAAATTTAGAAAGGGGGTCAGAGGCCCATTTCAAAAGACTAAAACAATGCCAAATATATGGGAAAAGAAGGTAAGCTATGTGTGTAAAGGAAATAGTAGAGAGGTCATTCCTAGTTAGCATCCTTAACACAATGAGTAGATAGAAAAAAAAAAAAGCTTTAGACAGTATAGGAAGGGTCTCCCGCCCATGCACAGAGATCTGGCTCACCTTGTAATGTCGTACACCAGCAATGCTCCAGCTGCTCCCCTGTAGTAGGAACGGGTGATAGAACGGAAGGATTCTTGCCCAGCCTTTCCCACCAACATGGCAACAAAAAATCCCAACAAAACTAGGTTATTTCCAGAGAACTGATTTTATCACATGCCATCCTAATACAAAGGACTTAACTTTATACTGAGAAAAGAAAATTAGGGAAAGGAAACACAAGTGCCCAAGGAGAAGCCCAGATGGGATAACAGTATTTTTGAATGGGAGTTCAATTGATATTTTGGACAGGTCACTTATTCTTCCTATGAGATAGTCCATCAGATCACTGGATGATCAGCATCCCTGGCTCCTAGTCACCAAATGCCAGTTGCACCCCACAGTCAAAATGATGATCAAAGATATTCTCATAAATTGTCCAATGTCCCCTATGAAAGAACAACTGGAAGTTGGACTAGAAACTCTAGGTATGTTATATTTTCAATCCCAATTATGATGTTTTAATATATAACATTAATCTTTCTGTTCCTGTTTATCTGAAAAAAAGAAAATTATCTTAAAATGCCAATACCCTATCTAAGAGAAGTTTTGTTCCAATGGATTAATGTAGAAAATTAGACAGAAGCACTTAAATTGAGCATATGCTAACTGACCTTTAGTGTTCCACTGATAAAGGCAGGACTACCTAGATGTCCCTTGGTGGGATCCTGTCACGGAAAATAGGAATAAGGAAAAGGGAAAGAAGCCCAAAGCCCAGGATAAAGTTTTGCTAAAAAAAAAAAAAGAAAAAGAAAAAGAAAGAAAAATGTTCACACTCTAATATCATTTTCAAATGGGCCAAGATATTTTTTATTTGTAACTGAGCAATAATATTGCCTCTATATACTGGGTACTTTTGATTTCCTAAGAGAATTGTTTTTTGTATTTTTTTTTTTTTTTTTTACAGTTTTTGCCCAGGGCTGTGTTTGAACCCACCACCTCTGGCATATGGGGCCAGCGCCCTACTCCTTTAAGCCCCAGGCACCACCCTGAAAAAGCATTTTTTAAATAGTATGAATACCTTGTACATTGAATTTATCCTATTAGGAAAGTTTTCTCATTCATGAAATCACTTATCTTCATATCCCTACATAAAAGTGGGGAAGCAAGACTACTGTTCATACTTTATAGATAGAAGAACTGACTGAGGACATAGAAAGATAAATGAAATAGTTTTCTCATAGTATAGCACCAATAATAGTGATGATACCAATAACACTGAATAACTATTTTTTGGTCATATGCTATACCAGGAGAAAAGTATAAGAGACAGTTACATGCATTGTCTCATGTAATTCTCTTAGCAGCCCTGGGGCAGATATTATTATTATTCCCTTTTAAAAATGGGGAAAATGAGGGATAAGTTTCATAACCAGATAAAAATCATAAAGCTTGTAATTGCTGGAGCTGCAACTTAAACTTAGGATCTTAATACTTCCTAGCACAACAGTTTGTTCTCTTAACCAATGGGGACTTACTCTGTCAAGCTGGAGGATAGGGTATGATCATAGCTCACTACAGCCTTGAAATCCAGGGCTCAAGTAATCCCCCTGCCTCAGCCTCTTGAGTTGTTGGAACTACAGGCACACATCACCATGACCATCTTAAATCAGGGTTTGAACATGAGACAAGAGTTCCATTATACTAACTCTAAGGTTACTTCTCCAACAACGCAAGAATCTCTTTCTACAAAAATCATACAAATGGGCTTGGCACCTGTAGCTCAGTGAGTAGTGTGCCAGCCACATACACTGAGGCTGGTGGGTTTGAGCCTGGCCGAAGCCTGCTAAACAACAATGACAACTGCAACCAAAAAATAGCCAGGTGTTCTGGCAGGTGCCTATATTCCCAGCTACTTGTGAGGCTGAGGCAAGAGAATTGCTTAAGCCCAAGAGTTTGAGGTTGCTGTGAGCTGTGATGCTGTGGCACTCTACCGAGGGAGACATGGTGAGACTCTGTCTCAAAAAGACAAAACAAAGCAAAAAAACCCCATACAAACGTTTTAGTGAGTTGTATGCTGTTAGAATATCAGACTTTAGAAACTCTATAGTAGCTCATGCCTATAATCCCTGCACTTCAGGAGACCAAGGCAGGAGGACTGCTTGAGGTCAAGAGCTTTGGACCAGGCTGAGCAATGCAGGGAAAACCCTTATCTACAAAAAGTAAGGAAAATAGTAGGGAGTAGTAGTATATGTCTGTAGCTCCAGCTACTCAGGAGGATCACTTGGGTCCAAGAGTTCAAGCCTTCAGTGAACAATGACTGTGCCACTGCGCACCACTTTGGGCAACAAAGCAAGATCCTATCTCTAAAAATATAATAAAAATAAGGCTGAGCCCAGTGGTTTATGCCTGTAATCTTAGTATTCTGGAAGGCCAAGACAGGAGGATCACTTGAGGTCAGGCACTGCAGACCAGCCTGAGCAAGAGCAAGGCACCACCTCCACAAAAAGTAGAAAAATTAGCTGGATGTGGTGAATTGCAAAGGTAGTCCCAGATGCTCAGGAGTCTGAGGCAAGAGGATCGCCTTGGAGTTTGAGGTTGTCATGAGCTATGAGGACACCACTCACGCTAACTAGGGTGACAGAAGGAGATGCTGTCTCAAAAGGAAAAAAAATTAACCAAATGAAATTCAATAATTTTAAAAGTCTAAATAATTCTAAAGTCCTCTATCAGTAATACTAATAACATTTTAAGATTTAAAAAATACTTTTTTTCCCCTCTAAGAGCTCACTTAAACTTTTATATTTACTTCCAAATAGATCCATGCCTTACATAACTTGGGTCCTATTTTCCTTTTATCTCTTATTTTTTCTCCCTTCTGCTATAACTGAAAGCCCCCACATGGCTTACCAGAAACTAAAACGGATAAGTTTTTAGGAGGCTCACAAGATGGTTGAATTACACAGAAGCCTTTAGCTTTAGCAGGTGAGAATACTTTCTGTAAGTCACCAGAAAACCTTTTAAGAGACAGACCCCGACTCTGAAGAATAGATGGGCATTGTGGCGGGCGCCTATAGATCCAGCTACTCAAGGCTGAGGCAAGAGAATCACTTGAGCCCAACAGTTTGAGGTTGCTGTGAGCTATAACGTGGCACTCTACCTCAGCGCGACTGAGTGAGACTCTGTCTCCAAAAAAGAAAGAAAACCTTTTAAAATCAAATCAAAATCCCTCTATTTGTTTATTCTAGTCCAGTTCAATGAATTAAACAAAATATGTGAGCTGGAAAAAGTCAATGGTTTAACATGGGCTGGTGTGTATCAGTCTTAGATATCCTAGTCCATACCTAGTAAAAATCTGAAGCAGCAAAAAACTAAGTTGAAAGTTTGATAAGAATTAACAGCTAATTTCTCTCAAGTGGAAGCATCACATTATACTCTCAAGATAGAGTTTGATGTATTAGCTTTTAGAAAACCAGATACTCTCTTTTCCTAAGACTCAAAATGCATTCTTGCTAATGAAGGACTTATTACGGTAAAAAAAAATTTAAATGCATTCCAAAGTAAAATACAAATTAATTTGAGATTTTTCATCAGTATATTAGCCACAGTAAAATCCCTCTCCATTAGCATGGTTATTTGGGAATATGTACATATACACAAGATAAAAAGTAACAAGGTTCTTTAAATCCTTACCAATACCAGAACAGTGATAACAAAAAACTGTGGATAACTTGAACTCTTTTAAATACCTAGCCTGATATCCCTAAACATTTTCTCATAGAATGGCTTTGAGAGTGAGGAAATGGGTTAACAAAGTGAGAAGATAAGGTGTGTAAACAATAGGTAGGAGATCAGGGCTGACAAGGGAGAAAGGATAAGCCTGACCCTAACAAAACAGACCCTACATTATAGTAGGTATGAATCTCTTAAAATCTCAAAATAAGTAGAAAACCAGTTAGAGTGTTCTGAAACCAGTTTCTTTTTATGATTCAGTGAAGATTAATATCAAAACAATTTTTAAAAGAGACCAGAAAAAGAACTAGGACAGTTGGACAGCCATGTAGTTCTTAAGGATCCTATTCACACCGTAGAAAGCTCTCAACTTTCTAATTTCATGATCAGCCATGTCTCATAAGAGCATGAAGGAAGGAAGGAAGGAAAGGAGGGAGGGAGGGTAGAGAAGGGAAGGAGGCAAGCCAGAAAGCCAGCAAGCCAACACATGGCCATAACCATACCATTAACTGGCATTTAGTGGGTTTCTTTTCCTGGTATTGAAGCATCCATTTTTGGAAATGATGGAGATTTAAATTAAAGAGTCAGAATCTAGTTTATACCACTCTTGACAGCTACAGGCTTCATTCTTTGTCACCTCCTCAGAATTTATCCTATGGTCTCTCTAGGGCAGGGGTCCTCAAACTTTTTAAACAGAGGGCCAGTTCCCTGTCCCTCAGACTGTTAGAGGGCCAGACTGCGGGCCCCAGGACAAGTCAGCTACTAAGCAGGACAGGCAGTGGCGGCAAAAACACCTGGTGGGCTGGATAAATGTCCTAGAGGGGCTGCATGTGGCCCACAGGTGGTAGTTTGAGGACGCCTGCTTTAGGGGGTCAAATCTCCCTTTACAGGAAATATAAAAACCAAGGGATAATAAAAGATGAGTTGTAATACGCACTTGCATTAATTATGACAGAATGGGCTCAGCGCCTTTAGCTCAGCAGCTAGGGCACCAGCCACATACACCAAGGGTGGTGGGTTCGAATCCAGCCCGGGCCTGCCAAACAACAATGACAACTACAATAAAAAAAATAACCAGGCATCCCAGCTACTTGGTAGGCTGAGGCAAGAGAATCACTTAAGCCCAGGAGTTTGAGGTTGCTGTGAGCTGTGACACCATGGCACTCTACTGAGGGCAACATAGTGAGACTCTGTCTCAAAAAACAAAAAAGAATATGGACTTAATTTTTGCAACAGATAGGGTAAAATTTCTTAGTCTTTATTGGGGGAAAAAGACTAAAAACAAGGACAGGCCAAATGAAGTAAATCTGGAAATTTTAGAGCTATCTACCTAGTGTTATGGTTATTAGAAATGTGAAGTAACTCATGTTTTATAATTATGGTGGCTCAATATGGAGAGATGAAAAGTCTGGTCAGTAGGGCAAAAGATTTTTGAATGCATGAGAATGCATCAAATTTACAAGAGAACATCATTCTAGTTGAAAGCACCTGATTAATCAGTGTATCCAAAAGTGGTAACAACTTTGGAGACCACCAGAAAAGGGCTTTGTCTAATAAGGCCCTAAAGCAGCAAATAACTCTACCTTTAAGACACACACCAGTCTGTGGTTTTGGGAAAGGGAGGAAGGCAGGGGCAAAAGAGAGAAAAAAGAAAAATAACTTGTGCACTTCTTGTAAATATAATGGCTTTAGCTGATTTATGAGAAGAAACAGAATAACAAAAATAGGAAGAGATTTTTTTTTTGGATACAGAATCTATGTTGCCCTCAGTAGAGTGCTGTGGCATCAAAGTTCACAGCAACCTCAAACCCTTGAGCTTAAGAGATTCTCTTTTACTAAGCTTCCCAAGTAGCTGGGACTACAGGTGCTCACCACAACACCTAGCTATTTTTTGTAGCAGTTGTCACTGTTGTTTAGCTGGCCTGGGCTGGGTTCGAACCCACCAGCCTTGGTGTATGTGGCTGGCACTGTAACCACTGTGCTATAGGCGCCCAGCCAAAAAACAGGAAGAGATTTTAGCTGAATTTAAGTAACTTTGCTAACTCCCTTTAACTAGAATAGAGACTAAGATATTATTTCCCTACACAAAAGAAAATCAAAAGAAATCAAACTGTACATGAAAGCAATTTATCTAGATGAAGCAAAATTACAGCAAGCTAAATTTTTCAGAACTACATTTATCAAAAAAAATTTTTTTTTGAGACAGAGCCTTAAGCTGTCACCCTGAGTAGAGTGCCGTAGCATCATAGCTCACAGCAACCTCCAACTCCTGGGCTTAAGCAATTCTCTTGCCTAAGCATCCCAAGTAGCTGGGACTACAGGCATCCGCCACAATGCCTGGCTATTTTTTGGTTGCAGCCGTCATTGCTATTTGGCAGGCCCAGCCTCTATTAGAACCCTCCAGCTCAGGTGTTCGTGGCTGGTGCCTTAGACGTTTGAGCCCCAGGCGCTGAGACCATTTATCAAATTTTAAACATGCATAACCTTTAACCCAGAATTTCTACTTCTGGGCAGGTATTCCACAGAAATTCTTAAAATATTTTCATAAAAAACTAGTAAATAAGAATAAATGTTCAATAGAACTTTGCAATAATGAAAAACTGTATATAATCCAAATTTCCATCATTGGAAAGATACTTATGGCACAGACATTCTATGACTATGCAGTGGTTAAAAGGCATGAGGTAGATCTATATGTACTGATAAGGAAAAGTATAAAGCAGATATTTTAGCTGGCCTGAACCTGCCACCCTCAGTATATGTGGGCTGGCATCGTAACTACTGTGCCACAGGCACCGAGCCTTTAAAACAGATATTTTTAATAAAAAATCTAAGTCACACAGCTAGGTCTACTTTGTCACAACTCTATTCATGCAAACACTAATAAATGCAAAATCATTACCATATATTTGTGTTTATATTCATGTATTTAAATATACAAAAAAAGTCTGAAAGCATACACTTGCTTCATTATTAGTGAATTCCTCAGGCAGAGAAGCAACCAAAACTGGGAGGGAGAAGGAGTTTATGTGTCTAAAGCAGACATTCATATTTTACTCTTATAAATTGTTTGATTTTATTCTCACTAAAATAAACTATTACTTGGATCACTTAAAAATAAAAACATACTGGCATTCAGAATTTGTAACTGTCAATAGATGGGATCAAAATCTTCCCCATTTCTTTGATTTCACTCTTCTATTTCATCTTCACCCTTAGTCCCAACCTCACAACCCTTTTCCCCCACCATCAGCCTTGATTGTTATACTTGGGTCTTGGTCAGGGACTATTTGTCCTCTCTCACCGTATCCCAGATTTGCAGTTTGATTTGTTTTCCATCAATGTTGACCATACGTGCTCCAAACTCCACACCTGTCATTGAAGACCAAGAGAAAGAATGTGATTCTCATGAACAACAGCCATGTCTAGTGAAAGGTTTGTGCTATTCCTCAATGAGTTATAACCCATCCTTTGTCTGTACTCAGTGCCACTAATCCCATTACTATTTGCTGCAATTAATTTTGTTCCTTAAGAAATAGTGTTCTTAAAAAAAAAAAATCATGTTCTAAGTGAAAATGACTTCAGGAATGTAACCAAAAAGCAGATATGACAATAAAATTATTTAAGAAGTCAAATAAAAAAGGCAAATATTCAGCAACATTAGTTAGTGCTTAAATTTGATTAGATAATATTGACTTTTGTAACTTTTTAAAAAAACTTCTAAAAAATTTTGAAACTGCCGCCTGACATCTACATCGTCACTTTCTGGTCTCTGGTTTGAAAAAATATTTAGTTTTTCTACCATTCTGGAATTTTTTATTTAAGAGCCTATCTAAGAAATAATTTCTCAAGAACAATATATTTTCCCAGAGTTCATCAGAAAATAGTCTCCCTTACAAAGAGTATGGAAACTGGGATTCTGAATAAAGTTTTTGGTTTACCTGGCAATTCATCTTCTCTCAAGGTAATGTCAGGTGAAAATTTAAGAACTACTTACATTAAAAATACTTGAGCATAAATTTGTCAATTTGTCCTATGTTCATATAATACTTTGCATATAACATGAGAACTCAAGAGTTCTAAGTAAGAAAGAGCACAAATCTATGTTAAAGGCTGATATGTATCTATTTAGTGGCCCTACACAGGTATGTATAATGTATCTGGAACATCTCAACTCTAAGGTGCTGCAGTCAATAAGAAAGACACAAAAACCTGGGCTAGGCATGGTGGCTCACACCTGTAATCCTTGTACTTTGGGAGGCCGAAGTGGGAGGATGGCTTGAGATCAGGAGTTGGAGAAAAATACAAAAACTGCTTCTTACTATTCCAATTGCTTCATCAAGAATCAAGTGGTAGCTATTGAAAAAAGAAACTAAATTTTTTTTTCTTTCTGGACAATTAGAAATGTATTTCAGTATTTAAGAATTAAATTTTTGTCCCCTTTTATGCAATTTCCTCTAGTTATATATTCAAAGACCCTTAACATTGTACACATTTTTTTCTATCAGCCTGCCTTGTTTGTCATATTACAGAGGACTGAACTCAGAAAGAAACACAGGCTCTACTAGACTTTGGGGAAAACCTAACTGATCATTTCACTCCTTCACTTTGAAACTTATTTGTTCCCTGTTATTCTGGAGTATTTCAAAATCTGGTACCTACTTTTTCCCCCAGCATTATTTCTTGCCACTCTCCACTTCAAATTCCACACTCCAGGCCATATTAAATTACTCAGTTTTCCAAATGTGGCATCCTTTCTGCTATCCCTGAGCTTTTGCATCCCTAGCCTGTCCCTCTTGCTGTTATCCTTTCTCCCTTGTCTCTATAACCTCTTTGCCAGGCTGACTCCTGATTCCTCAATTTTCAGCCTTCACTGATGGTAGTCTCTCCTCTTCTGCAATTGAAATTTACTTGTCAGTATCTGTTCCTAGCCCTACTTCCTTTCTTAGAAGACTGTAAAATACTTAAGGATGGGCACAATGTTGCCTTGTTAAGCAGCGTACTGTTAGCCCCATCACAGTGTAAGAATCACTTAATATCACTTTTTTTAATATCACTTTTCAAGATTATTTTCTATTTGCCCTTGTTTTGTTGATATAAAACAAAAAAACAAAAATATTTTCTGATTGATACTACCATAATCCTTTTCTTTTTCTTTTCTTTTTTTTTTTT